GGGACCAGCCTCCCACCCCATGCTTTCACCTCTGACCGCTGCAAGCTGGCAGTGGGATTTCGGGGTCCCCAGCAGAGGGGCTGTGCCCACAGCAGTGCGGGACAGGGCATACAGAGGTATTGGTGGCCAGAAGACAGAAGCACCCGTGACCCAAACAGCACTTGCTCCCAACTCTGTGCCCGCTGTGGTCAGTGCAGGGGCTCCTGTGGACACCAGGCCACTGCTGGGGACACTGAAACCTGTCCTTCCTTCCCACCAGGACTCTCTAGCTCCTCGCAGTGTCCAGCCTTCTCCTGTGGTGGAGGGTGCATAGCACAGTTCGTACCGACCCCGGGGGTCTCACCCACACCTCACTCCCCAGCAACCCGCCGTCCGAAGGGGACTGAGGCACAAAGAAGCGACAGACCTTCCTCAGCAGCCAGGCTAAGCCCTGGAGAAGAGCAAGAGCTTGTGTCTGGGAGATGCTCAGCTAGGGGTTAGTCGCAGGCAGATCTAGCAGAGACAGAGCTGGCGAAGGTGAGAGCCACAGGGAAGGAACAAAGCGAAGCAGAAGCAGGATAGCAGGGTGGATGGGGAGGAAGACAACTGTGCCAATCCTCACCTCATCGAGTGTTTCCACAAGGAGTAGGGGGGACATCAGGACTCTGGTTCATCCCCCTTCAGCCATGGCCTCTTAGAGGCTGCAGCAACAGGCAGCTGATAAATGTGCTTGCAGAAAAGAAAGCAGCTCTGGATCCCTTGAAGGCCCCCCCAGACAGCTCAGCCATAGGCATCTTGGGGTCTGGTGGGGGATCCTGAGGTCTTGGATTCACTTTTCTGGAGGGTGCAAACCAGAGACGTGAAGGAGCCTCCCTGCAGACACCAGCAGTTTGCTCCCCATCGAGCGGTGGTAAGCATGCCCACCCTGCACACAGCTGATGCCAACACTGCATCCCCAAGCCATGGTCCGGGGGCAAATGACTGCTTGGAAACAGGAGGGTTTATCCATAAAGCAAAGCAGGGAGTTTGCAGTCATGGGGGGTGCAGGGAAGTGCTTGAAAACATGACTTGAGAGCACCAGAAAGGCTTTGAAACCTGGCAGCCATGCTGAGGAGCCCAAGGACTGGACAACGAGGGGAAGAACACTCCACAGCCCCTTGCTGCGTGCCCTGGCTCCCTGCGACGTGCTGAGCCGTGCCTTCCTCTCTGCTCCACAGGCTGGGGGAGGAGCGGGCAGTGCCTGCTCACCCTCCCTACCTGCCTCAGGCAGGGACAAACCCTGACCTGGAAGTGCCACAAACACCATCACCCCGCCAGCAGCTGGCTGTGCCCGGCCACCCTGCACAACCTCATCTCACCCCTTCAGCTCCTTCCCAGGTTCGTCCCCGCTGTCCCCCACTGCCTCACCTCTCACTCGCCCACCCACGCCTACGGTGTCACCACACGTACCGTCACCAACCCTAACCACCCTGTTAGCATGGCCCTGGCCCTGGCCTCATCTCCCACCACGCAGAGAGCCAGACCACCTGCCAGCAGCTCTGTCCCTGCTCACTACCCTGGTGCTGCCTCCTCGGTCCCTCTTGTCCCCACTCACTGCCCCATGTCTGCTCTCTCATTCCCCCAGCAAAAACCTTCATCTGCTTTACTGCTTCCCCATCAGCAGCAGTGGCTAATCCAGCAGGGAGTCCCTTGCTTCTGCCTGACCTCAAAACGCAGCTTGCAGGGGGATGAGGACCAGGGGGTAGCACAAGCCGCTGTCAGCTCGCTGTCCGATGCGAAGCAGGGATGCTCCAGCTCAGCACACAAGCCCATGCACGCCGGAGCACAGCATGCCCGGCGCACCCCTTCGCCACGGCTCCGTCCTCACCTCCGCACACCTCCCGGTCGTGTGCTGGAAGCCTCGCATTCCCTCCTCCGCCCCCTCTCCCTCTGGGCTGTCCCATCCCTGCCAGGGCCAGGGGGCTATGGCCAGAGTCTGCCCCAGCTCCGGCGGGTCCTGGCTGCTCCGCACCACCTCCTGCCGGCCCCTACACTGCGATCTCATCCTCCAGGCTGTCACCCAGGTCCTGCCTGGGCTGGACGTGGAGCAGGCGCGGCGGTTCCTCTTGGGACCAGGAGTCACGCTCCTCGCTCTCGTCCGTGTTGGACTCGTACTCGGAGGCAATGCCCGACTCACGGAACTTGATGAGCTCCAGGCTGCCCAGCGCTGGCTCTGGGGCAGGGGGCCCTGAACCTGGCAGAAAGCGGTAGCACTCCAGCTTCACCAGGCAGTCATTCCTACCTATGGGGCTGGCCAC